CCCTGAAGCCTAAGACGAAGATCGTATGGGGAAAGCAACCGCATGTTGATGACGAGGGCGAGATGGACCCGGAGGCGAGCTCTTCGGGGCAACAGAGGACCGAGCCGGCCCCCGATAGGGGTGCCGGGTCGGGAAAGGACGATGACGAGACACTTCCTGACATTGGGAAACTATCCATGGCGGAGGAGAAGAAAGACGACATGGATGTGGATCAGGGCGGTTCTAAGAAAGGTCCATCTGGAGCGGGAGAGCCCAAGCCTCGGAATACTGAGGCTGGGCGGGCGGACCCGAGCAAGATAACCAACTTCTCGGGCGCCACCTTTGAGGAATACCGCAAGACCGCTCCCACCTATGAGTACAGCGGGGAGGGAGATGATCGAAGGATCCTTCCCAAGAACACTCCGATCGACATGGAGAAGTCATTGCCTGCTGAGGCGGCGCTCTTGATCCCCAGGCCCGTGGAGAAGGCCGCGATGGAGGCCATCCGTGGGGACATGACGCTTCCTGACATTGGCCAGGAGGACAGGGAGAAGGTTGACCCTCACACCGTGACGACTGAGGACTTAACTGCGTCGATAGACGCGTTAACTAGGAAGCTGAGCGACATGCCCAAATGGTCGGGCAACTTGCTTGATCCTGCGAAGTCTGCTGAGCTGGTTGCGGCAAGATGGGGCGGAAAGGTGAGTTATGACAAGCCTGAAGCTCCTCTTACTGAGGCTGGGATGAAGAGTGCGTCGCTGGAGGATCAAGCTTATGCCCTCTCGCAGCTGAATGAGATGGTGAACTTTCACAAGAAGCATCTGTGCTTTGGACGAGGAGCGCCATCGCTAAGTGCAAGCGCTCCCACTGAGCCCTTTGCGCCCGGCCAGATTGACACAAGCAGGAAATTCCGCCCGAGTGAAACGGCGAGCAAGATGACATACAATCTCGTGGTTCTGGACGGAAAGAAGGACTACCTTGCCGATAGGCAGGAAATCAATCCGGATCTGCGAGCTTCTGGGGTTGTGCCTGATGAGGCTATCACTTGCCAGATTGTGGTCCCCTCAAAGACAAGGTTGAGCGAGTACGTTCCGAACTACGAGGAGACCGCGGCCACCGTCGCAGGGCGGGAGGCGGCTCAGGAGTTGATGAAGCTGCTCTCGTGCGATTTTGAAGGTTTGGTCATCAACTCGAAAAGCGTCTCGGAGTTATTCGAGGAGAAGGTGCTGAAGGAAACTGGACGGGAGTCTGGAAACTGGGTGAGTAGTGACCAGGCCGTCTGGTTCCTGAGAGAGATCACGGGCATGGAGAATGCCAAGATGACGTGGAAGTTCTTCATCCCGGCGATCAAAGCTTTCCCGATAGGGCAGGTTGAGGTGATGCTCATGATCATGTATGATGAGAATGGTGTCCTCCTCAGGGAATGCACCAGGTTGGTGGCCGTTAGGTACACGCGGATCGGACGAGACATGAGTTTTGGTTCTGTGAGGCAAAGATACACCCAAGAGGATGCACCTGGCGGGTCTCTGATGTACGAGATGCACTGGAATGAAATTCCTATGGTAGGGTATGTCATCATGAAGTTCTTGGACTTCAGGAAGGCGGTCCAGCTCCACAAGGTGAGACGGAATGGAAAGGCCATGATCGAGATATTACAATTGGAGACGGGAGGCAGGATGAGGGCCTGGTTCCAATTGTGGAAACTATGAGGCCGAACGCCGATATCGCCTTCGTGGTACGTCAGGGACAGGCTGCGGAACTACTCAGGTACGTGGTGGTCATGGTGGACCTTCGGGTACATTGGTCGCTGGTTGGACCTGTGTTTCTGACAAGGAGAAAGACCCTTGCCGTTCGGAACGAGATCCACATGGGTGCGTGGAAGGCTGCGTACATGTTCGATGATTACACGATAGTGTATCATCGGGCTTGGGACTATGGTGACTTCACTCCCGATAGGGGGGAGCACAAGCGGTCGCGTGAGGAAGTCAGGTTGAACGTGACCAGCACCTTCTGTTTGAGGTGCGCGGAGATGACGCCAAATGGGATGCATTTGTGTCCTGGGTGTGCGCTCCCGGTCTTCTACCCGAACTTCATCCCCAACGCGAACGAAGATGACTTCGTGGGGTGCCACATCATCCCGGACTGGGTGAAGAGTATGGGGCAGTTCAAGCCCAAGAGGATCGCATCCGACGGAGTTATCAAGAGGAATTTGATTTCCTATTCGATGGCATCTGACCTGAGGATGACGGTGCAGAGCGGCATCCGGCTGCCCCCTTATCTAGGTGAGGACAAGGGAGGAGTTGATGCGGCGTGGGATGAACTGGCGGAGGTGCTCTTTCAGTTCTCCTATGTGTCGGGGATTTCGGCCTCGGATGCATTCGTGGAGAAGTGGGTGGCGAAGCACCTGATCAAGACAAATCAAGTCGATAGATTTGAGTCGGTAACTGAGTACTTCCGAGCGAACCCGATGCGTGCGGCTCAGTGGGGTAGACGTATGACGACTTCCGTTACGAAGTTCGCCCGTCGTGACACGTATTTGTCCTTCTATATCCCGATGGCGTACGTGATTGGTGCTGCGGCGGGCCATCTGACTCCCTTGTATCCGACCCACCGGAAGGACGTGGACATCCTGGCTAGCCATGCGCTGATAGCGGATCTCAGGAAGTACATGGTCTCAGCAACGGGGTACGATGAGAAGAAGAGATTGAGGGAGGCGGTAGCCAAAGTGCAGAAGGCAATCAATGCTGGGCAATCAGAGCCTCCTGCCCCCTTCCGTGACCCGTTCGTCTACGTTAGTGACGAAAGGGTGAGGATGGTCGTCAACCGGAACCGTTGAATGTGAACGTTGACGAGCTTCAGTCGGTGCATCATGCTGCACAGGGTCCCGGTCCAAAGCAGGAACCGATCGTCAAGGGCGGAAAAGGAAAAGGGAAGAAAGGAGAGAAGGGCGGTAGTCCTTCCGGCCCACCACCAAAGTCAGGAGACGAGTCAGGAAAAGGGTCTGGTAAGGGCGATAGCCCCTCCGTTCCGAAGGCAAAAGCAAAGGCTGATGCTGGGCCGGCTCCGATGGAGGTTGATACACCTGCGGCTCAACCGAAGAAGACTTGGGTCGCGATAGCGGTTGAAGGAGCCCGGCCAAGTGCAAAGGCTAAGATGACTCCGGTCCCAAAGGCCGAGCCGAAGGGAAAGGCTGCTTCAGTTTCTGAGGCGAAGAGTGCTTCAGCCCCGAAGGCTGAGCCTAAGGAGACGAAGCAGGCCGACCCGAAGGTTGAGGCCAAGAAGGAGAAGGTAGGCGGAGACGACGCTCCCGGCGGTAGTCGGGGGTCGGCTGAAGGGCAGAAGAGAGAAAGGAAGTCCCGTTGGGATCCCGACGAGACTGTGAAGGAGTCGACAAAGCGGGAGGCATCAACGAGGCCTGATGACGTTGACAGCAGACCAGGTGCGGCAGCGAGAGAGGCTAGTGGAGACGAGCTTCGTCGTGATGATGACTTGCTCGATCGGGAGCGGGATCGAAGGCGAGATGATGGCAGGAGATCCGAGAGGGATCGTGATAGGGACCGTGCGCGGGGCGGACGTGACCGGAGGAGGCGTGACGATAGCCGATAGGCTGAGTCACGAGGATTGCGGCCGATAGGCTTGCGTCCATTCTCCGATGGTCGGCGCGGTGCGGAGGTGATGATGTTCCTCCCAAACCGCTGAGGCGCGGAGATCGTGCCTCTCCCCCGAACCGCTGCTCGGCTGCTGGCCGTGCTCACCATGAAGTAGTGTGAGTGAGAGGGGAAGCAAACTGGTGGGGGATACTCCCAGGTTTGCGGAATTCAAGCATTTTTCAGGTACGCATGGTCAGGAGTACCTCTTGCCGATAGGCGAGGGTACTGATGAACAGACGTTACCCTTTGTTTCATGGCTTCTGATAAGAATTGAACTTCTTGCATTGTTGATGCAAACAGTTGTGGCCTATTGCCGTCATGTGGACCCTTCCAAGGTATGTTGGACAGCGTTACCCCGATTAATTCGGGGTGGTGGCGGGATTTTAATGCCCGGGACGTCGCGCAACTGCCTTTGTGGGTTTGCTCCACCGCTGACGGCGGTAGTGTCCAGCTGTTTGCGGACACATGCGAGCAGTTAAATCCTATCAGTAAATGGCACGCTCCACCCGTCATATGACGGGCTCCTCGTGAGGGGGGTGTGATTAGCCATGGTTCATATCATCATCAGGGACGTCGCGGTAGCGACCGACCTGTGGTGTATTGGCTCAAGTTTACGGGTTCCGTCGCGCCTCGAATGGGCGTCGCCGAACCCCTGCGTCGACCGACGGCATTTCGGGGGAGAAAGAGACCTCGGGCCGCCGCCAGGTTGGTAGGGACCAGTCGTGCGGCCTGTTGTCGACCAAGGTTGCGGGTTAACCCTTTTCTCTTTTGGTTTGTTTCCTTTTGGTTGTTGCTCTCTGGTGTTTGGGAAACCCTGATCTTTGGGACCGGGGATTGGTTTGCTTTTGGGAACCTTTCTTTTGTGGCTTGTTTACCCCAACTTACCCATTGCCTGGGCACAGGCTCGTGCCCGAATCACATCTTTGAAGGCTTTCTGGGTGCTGGTCTTTGCTTGTCAACCGTTTGTCCTAATGCGCAGAGTGAGCAACTTGGTTGGGGTCTTTCATGACATGGGCCACAGGCAGCAGGCAGGCAGTAGAAACAACATGCGTATTGACGCCGGTGACTGTGTGGGGCACTGCTTGCAGTGCAGCCTTGCTTGGATGCTGCGGTTACTGAAGACCCTTCTGATGTGGAGCGCATAAAGATGTGCGAGGCAAGCTTGAAGCCATCAAGTGTCAAAGAGGTCATTGGTGTCAAGAATGGCTGCAGGGATGCCATTTAGGCATCGCAGTTCAGATATGGAGGGGCGCTTCTTGGGCAGGCGTGTGTTCCATGAGTTGGTCTACGATTGGCCCCTCGCTCACTTCCTTAGTCAGAACATTCCCATCCGACCGTGCCCCTCCGTTCGAATGAACGCAGCGAGCGTAGGCTGCGAGGCGCCACGGCCGCGCCAGAGCTGCTGCTCCACGAAGGCCGCTGCTTCGTGCCTCGCCTGGAGGACTCCACGGAGACCTTCCACGGCCTCGGCCTGCGCTTGGCGTCGGACGCAGCCTACGCCATCACAGGCGGCACTGGCGGCCTGGGCCTGCGCTTTGCGCTCTTCCTGGCAGAAAGGGGTGCCAGGCAAAACGGTTAAACGGTTCAAAACGGCAGAAAAGTGCGGTTTCCGTTGCTTTTAGTTTGGGTCAAAGATCGCAGGCACTTGCTGCTGATGTCCCGTGGTGGGAAGATAGCGGATCCAGCAAGCTCTGACGCGGTGCAGAAGATTAAAACCTTGGCTTCTGCGACTGTCGTGCGCTGCGACGTTGCGGACCCCGACTCCTTGGCCGCGTGCCTGCGAGGTGCCCAAGAAAGGCAGCCAGTCAAAGGCGGCTTGGCGCAGAAACGGGGGCGGTCTATTGCGCACACAGGAGCTGGGGACGTGTGAACGCTTCAAGGTGTTTTGACGTGCGTCTGTTTGAGAACTTGTAAACGTGAAGGTGTTTGCCTCGCGTAGGTGTTCTTCATGCAGCCGGTTTGCTGGACGACCACCTGATCATGGACATGCAGCCGTGCCACATAGCGCCCGTTTTGAAGCCCAAGATGGATGGCTCCGTGAACTTGCACACAGCCCTTGGCGACCAAGCTGCAGTTGCAATCGAGCAGCTTGCCACGCACACTGACTCCCTAATTGCAAGCAAGTTGGGCACCGTCGGTTTTTCAGGTACTATAGCGTGCACGTTGTCTTTTCTCTTCGCGCGCAATGCTTGAGGAATCCTATCGCACCAATCCCAGATGTAGCTTCACGCTCAGATAATTCTGAGCATTGGCTCTACAGGTTTAGGTTAGAGATAGAAGTTAAAAGTAGAGTTGGAGGTTAGAGGTTACAGATTAGAGGGTGAGGTTAGGGGGTCAAAGAGGTTAGAACTGCGTGAGGCGCCAAGCACCGGCACGCCGGCACCGGCAGCCCGCCAAAAAAAGTCATTCCCTAGAACCTAAATTAAAGGATAGAGATAGAGGTTAGAGTCAGAGGTGAAGGTTTAAGGGTTGAGTTGAGGACTCAGTCTTGGCAAAACCCCCCAAGCAACCGCTCAGAATTTAGACCAGCTTGCTCCCAAAACCTTGGCTCAAAGTGCGCTTTGAAAAGGGAAGACAACAGAAGTGGACAGTGGAGCGTGAACATATCAGGCAGACAGGCAGTGTTGCTCACAAAACACTTGCGCTGGAAGCAGTCGTGGGTTGGCCCTTCAAACGAGCTGCTTCGTAGGTTCTTTCTTGCCTGGGACTGTTTATTGGCCATGTGGCCTATCCCTGCTGATCGCAGGAACATGCTGAGGTCGAGCGAAATCCACCAAGCGCTTTGCCGAAACCATGTTCACCAGGTGATGGCTTGGACTTCTTTGTGCTCTTCTCTTCGGTGGCCTCGATGCTTGGTTCCGCAGGGCAGGCGCGAGCGCTTGCGAGCTTTCAAAGGGTGGAGGGCTTCATGTGCCAGCTGAAGCTGCCCATCAAGTGCCAGGCCAACTACTGCGCCGCCAACTCCTTCGTGGATGCCTTCTCCAGCTTCCGGCGCGGCCAGGGCCTTGCAGCCACAGCCCTACAGTGGGGCCCCTGGGCAGAGGCCTGGGTTTGGGCTTGGGGTTGGCTTCGGGAACTTTTTTTCCGCATTCTGTTTGCCGCCCCGCAACACATCCCATGTACTTCAGGTGGGCATGGCCGCCCGCAGCGGCACCACGGAGTCTGGCGGCTTCCTCCGCCAAGACCCAAACGCCAGCCTCCAGGCGTCCGACCAAACTTGGCATCGGCTCAGTGAAACGGCGGTTGGTTTGACAAGATTTGGCTGCGGGTTTGTCGATCCTGTTTTCGTAAGTTCAACGCGCCTCCTTTGGAGGGACGAAATGCCTGGCAAGTGAGGGTTCCACCTGGCAAGTGAGGGTTCCATGACGCCAAGGGTGCGCAGCCCAAACTCATCCCGCACATGTGTCCGAGCCGGCGTTGTTCAATGGCCGGAGTTATTTTTTGGGCAACGGCGCTGCGTCTCCCATTCTCTCCCGTTTTGGCTATCGCACACGCCTCTCAGTTTCAATGATCGTTGGGCAGTTCCTTCTTTTCCTGGCGTTCATACAGCATTTGCGGGTAGCCGCGATTCCTTTGCAACAGATTGCTTTCAAAAGTGGCGTGGGTGCCTCCTCGTTACGAGCGTTGGCAAAGCTTGTCCAAGCAAGTTTCAGCGTCATTCACAACGCCCAGGAGCCCTTCTACCAACATGGTAGCCGTGTGTATGCCGTGTGGGACACCTGCGCGACAAAGCTGACTCAGATTCCCTGACCATCCGCTAATTCGCTTGACTGTTTCGATTCTGTAAAGGTGAGTGTCGCTGAACCCGCTCAAAGGCCATGGCCTTGGTTCTCTCCACCCAGAAGCCAGTGGTGGGCGTTGCGCGAATTGATTGGGCGTCCTTCCTCGCAACGCAGCCTGAAGTGCCTGACTTGTTGGACAATTTCAAGCACCACAAGAAGGAAGTGATCGGCGAGGTGTCTGAAGATCTGGTGATCTCTACGATCAAAGACGCTCTCTGCAACGTGTTGGGGCATTCGGATCTCGACTTCACGATGCCGCTCATGGACATGGGCCTTGATTCGCTTTCCAGCATGGAGTTCCGGAACCGCCTGCAGGCGGGAAAACAGTTGAAGCCAACGCACCCTGACTCGCCAAGAATTGAACTGGTTCTGCCCTCTGGCGTTTCTGGCATTTCCAGGCAGACAGGCTCCAAGGAAACTCCACTGTGGCAAATGAGGATAGGCTCCAGCAGAAGTGTCAACAGAAGTGTCTACGCCACTACTGAACAATCATGTGTTTATGCGCAGGTGCGAGTTTCGTAGGTTGATGGGGCGTGGGAATGTATTTCCGACTTAAGGGGCACGGCGTCTAAGAACCAGCCCCGCTACTCAATCGGTCATAGGCGCCAAGTTGCATTAGCCAGAACTGGACTCTCCGCAGAGCCCCGAAGCCACTTCTCTTTTCGGCCATGCGTGTTGGCTCTTCGAAGCCCCGGCAGGCCAGCGTCAGGGACCTCCGGGTGGCGCCCACCGTGCTCCAGGACTTCCCCACCTTGCGCGAGCTCGCGTCGCACGTGCTGGCACGCTGCGACGCCTCTCTCAGCCCCGGCAGCCCTTGCAGCCCTTGCAGCCCCAGATCTGAGGCCTCTTGGCGCTGAATTCGTCTAAGTTGCCCCCAAAGCGGTTGCTTTCTCAGTTATCAGAATGACTCTTGGTTTGCCTTTCCATTTCAGGATCGGATGCAACTTTGGGGTGCGCAGTCAATACAATACAATGATTCTGTTGTGGACAATCCGCCCGCTCGCCCACGGCCTGCTCGGTTCGATCTATTTTCACCGAGCATCCTGTTGGCAGGGCTTGGTGTCCAAAAAGCAGCATATCTGCACGAGTTTGCTGTGCAGCTGTTTTGGCGCAGTCCGGATTCCAACATGGCTCGGCACGGTCGTATCCACTGTCACCGACAAGCCTCTGTTGCTAAGATAGCTGTTGCTTCACACAACGAGCTCTGGAACTGGCAGATCCTACATTTTCAGGTGCCTTGGGCGTTTATTTTCCCTTGACAGGTGCCTATGCCGCCTTCTTGTCACGGGCTGGTTATGATAGACCGGGTTCGTTTGAGTTGGAAGCTTGGACGTTTGTTGGATGGCAAAAAAGAGGTGCTGATGGTTAAGATCATGACCACTTATGACTTATGACCCTCCGGATTGAGCATGTGATGGTGACAGCTTATGATGTATGTGTGTTTTTTTGTTTGTGTATGGTTCAAATATTGCACACATGTACCTTAGATACATTGAAATAGATATTTGCGTATGGATGATGTTTGACGGCTGCTGTTTTCGCCGGGCTCTTCCATTGCTGGCATTCTCGCACAAACAAAGCTTGAGATTGCGCGTGGGAAGTGTGAGTGCCATCGCGCTCCGTTTTGTTACCTCTCCGCTGCTAGCTGCCTTTCTGCCACTGCTGCCCGAGCCTTTGCTCAAATTCCGTGGCGGTGTCCGATGTCGCGGTGCCTTAGGGTTGCGATGATTGGCTCGCAGGGCTGAAGGTGTCTTTGCGGGACCTCTTTTGGATGGTAGGGTTTCCTTTGCTTGATTGTTTTGAAGCACCTTTCTCCCCAACAGCTGAAAGCGTTGGGGTCTCAGCACACATAGGCTCCGGGTTGGTCCGCGGCGGCCCTGAGCTGCCCCAACCAGTCATAGCGCGCCGCGTCAAACGTGGAATCCTTGTGGAACGCTTGTGGAACCCTCTGGAACCTTACCTCAGCCTTGCGGAGCCCTTGTGGAAGCCTTGTGAAAGCCTTGTGAAAGCCTTGTGGAACCCTCGTGGAACCCTCGTGGAAATTTGGTGGAACCCTGGGCGGAAGCCGCCCCGGACCACCCTGCAATGGGCACCGGCTGTATCTTTGCGCGGCAAAACGGCATCCCGCAAAACCGGCGGCGCGCTATGATTGGTGACTTGGTTTGCTTCCCGGGCTGCTTTCGGGCCCGAGCGCAAAAAAAGAGCGCCGCGTGCTGTTGGGGGTATCCTTGTTGTGTTTTCTTTGGGTGCTTTGGTGTAGGCATGTGAATGTGTTTATATAAAGTACAGCAATTTAGTTGCTGCGTTGAGAGCTGCTTTTGCCTATTGTTGTGAGAGCATGACCCAAGACAAATTCATGGCGTTGAAGCCGCCCATTTGCGTCCAAGGAAGTGGTTGCGTTCTCAGCTCTCAAAATGATTATATTCTTTGGGTGGTTGGGTTTGGTGTCCAAAAAAGCAGCTTGTTTGCACGTTGCGCAACTGCCGGGAACTTTGCCAGTTGTCGTCCGACGCAACCGTTTTGGCGCAGTCCGGATTCCAACATTGTTCGGCGCGGTCGCATCCAATGGAGCTGGCCCCAGGAATTGTCACCGAGAAGTTCGACTTGGAGGGCCAACCCGCGGACAGGGCGAGCGTGCTGGTGTCAAAGCGGCCGCTGCGCCGACAGTTCAAGGAGCGCGTTCTCTTCCTGCATGGTCAGTTCACTGACGCAGAACTTGCGCATTTCATGCTGGACCAATGTGGCTTTGTCGACATGTTTGACGTTGTCGTGCCAGAAGGTCTGCATGAAAGCGAGGTCTTGCCAACCGAGTATCACGCACTCATTGGCGTCGACAAGCTTGTCAAGCACCGCTTTTACTCGCCGGACCGTTCATACAAGAAATGGGGGGCAGGCTACGACCTTTTGTGTCAGGAGTTTGAGGGTCAAGACATCGACCTGAAACCTGGCCAGCGCGACTGGGACGCAAGCATCCAGTACCTATGTCACATTGTGGCTCAGCACGGGCCCTTCGACGGAGTCATTGGCTTCTGTGAGGGCACCGCTGTTTTGCATTCGATGCTCCACTTGCAGCAAGAGGGGCACGATGTGGGCCTTGGGTCCGTGAAGTTCTTTGTGGCCATGGCGCCTTGGATGTCTCCAAGAGCCCCAGGCAAGACTTTGCATGTGCCAACTCTTTTGTGCGGGGGTTTCAAAGACCTGCCTATCTTCCATCACCATTACCAGTCCTTCAAGAGCCACATGAAGGGGCCCGTAGTGGAGTACCAGCATGCTGGCGCGCACGTCTACCCTGAGATTACCACAGAGCTGACGAAGAAGCTGAAGGAGCTTCTGCTGGCATCTTGCTGTTGCTTCATACAATGAGATCTGGAACCGGCAGATCAGGCTGCAGTAGCCAGTTTTTCAGGTGCCTAGATTCATGGCAGCTGCCTCTTTTTCACTCACGCCCCCCTTCATGTTTGCATGAGGCCCGATAAACGTTTGAATTGGAAGCTTGACGTTTAGTAGGGCAGTTGATGGAAAACCCCTCAACAGCTACATGAAGGGGCCCGTAGCGGAGTACCAGCATGCCGGCGTGCACGTCTACTCTGAGATTCTGAGCTGACGAAGAAGCTGAAGGAGCTTCTGCTGGCATCTTGCTGCTGCTTCATACAATGTCTGCAATAGGCAGTTTTTCAGGCGCCTAGTGTCTCTTTTTCACTCATGTTCGCTCATGTTTGCATGAGTTGCGATACGCGCTTGACATTAAACCGAGGGCAGTTCGATGGACAATTGCAAAAGAAGGGCGCTATCTTGGTTAAGATTATGACCCTTATGACTCCTCCGAATTGAGTATTGATGGTGATAGCTTATGAGGTACGTGTGCATTTTTATGTGTGTGATTGAATATTCCAACCTTAGATACATTGAAATGGATAGCATGATTACATATGTGCGTGTGGATGAGCCGGGCTGTTCCATTGCTGGGGTTCTCGGACAAACATGATTTGAGATTGCGCGTGGAACAGTGTGAATGTCATCTCATGCCTTTTTTGCTACCTTTCCGCGGCTAGCTGCCTTTCTGCCACCGCTGACCAAGCCTTTGTTCTCTCTTTGCGCACGCGCTTTCAGCTATGTTCTTGCAACACCGCCTGCATCTTTGCTGCGAGCGTAGCATGCTCGGCCTGGGACGCTTCGCGTTCAGCGTTCCGTGCAATTTGTCTGTGTTTCTCTTGCGTTCAGGTCTATAGGGTCTATTCCAAGTGCGCACAAGCACGTACCATGGCCTCGCAAGTTTTCATACAGCGAGCGCTATCCGTGAATCAAGATGCCACTTTTCAAGGCAGGCGCCAAGTTTCCACAGACGTGGCGGATTTATTCTCACATCAAGCCTGTCCAGTCTCTTCTAACGGAGAGCCAAAATCATTTAGTGAACAAGTTGTATTTTTTTTGTGCCTATGGCGAGAACAATCGGTTAGCGCACCCAACCAGTGGGACCTTCCTGCGCCATGAAGGTGGACGTTTGCTTGCCCAGCGGAGATTGCTGCTCTGTAGCAGTCTCACCGGAGACGCCCGTCAGAGAGCTGAAGGCTGCAGCGCAGCATCATTTCCAGCGCCTGTTCAAGCTCAGTGCGGCGGGGACAGCAGCCAGGTGCAAGAAGAACATTCTTGAATCTGGGTCTGTTGTGACCTGGGGTAATCCAGACTGCGGTGGAGACAGCAGCCAGGTGCAAGAAGAACTGAGACATGTCCAGCGCATTCAAGCAACTCACCCTGCTTTTGCTGCCATTCTTGAATCTGGTGCTGTTGTGACCTGGGGGAATCCAACATGTGGTGGGGAGAGCAGCCAGGTGCAAGAAGAACTGAGAAATGTCCAGCGCATTCAAGCAACTCACCCTGCTTTTGCTGCCATTCTTGAATCTGGTGCTGTTGTGACCTGGGGGAATCCAGAATTTGGCAGAGATAGCAGCGAGGGGAAACCCGATTTTTTAATGGGTTGGTCGTTCTTTTCTCCCTTGCCTCGAAGGTAAAAAGATGCGCCAAGTATCCATGCACACTCGGTCGGTGAATGGAAAAAAGGTACGAGTGACGGATAGTTAGTATATGAGTGCTTTATGTGTGCTAGTTTGGTTTACGCATTTGACTTGAGGTAGAAGGAAATGCCGTATCACGTCATGTCATGTCAGACAGCGCGGTATGCGCTTTGCATGCCAGGCTCCGGCGGCTGATTCGATTGAGAAGGCTGAAGCGCTGAGGCGGCATCACCTGGTTGATAGCTTCACTCCTGGAACGCGGTTAGCCAACCCGCACGTTCTGAGCGCGATCAGATGTGTGTGCCAGGCGCTATCCTGAGTAGAAACACCAAGACCTGCCCACCAAAGGTCTCTGAATCTCCTCTTGACGCCCAGCTGCGCGTTGCTTTCCTTTGGTTTGGCGATTGGATTCGCCAAGTTGGTAAGTTGTTTGTAACCAAGGCTATAACCTGGTTATAAGCCCCCTAAGTGGAGCTAAGGTGAGGACCCAAGCTCCACCCACCCAAACCACGGAAGGCGATTTTTTGCGAACGGAACGCCAGGTGAGGAATCAGCAGATCTGGCTCGAGGAGCTCGACAAGCCGGATGCGGTCATCATTTGCTTGGGGCTCGTTCTGCTGGACATGATTTGGGTGCGGATGTATGCATTGAAATTCATGGCCATGCGTCGCTTGGTTTCTCTTTGGTTCTCCCTGGTTGCTCTTTGGTTGTCCCTGGTTTGCCTTGTTTTTTTTTCCATTGCTTGTTCTTTTCTTTTGCATCCAAAGCCTGGTAGCGGTGTTGTTCTGAATGTCCTCGTGGGAAGGGATTCCCTTTAACATGGGGGTGTCTTAAAAATTAGGGGCCCCTCAAGGTGGTTGGTTTCCTTTTGGTGCCCCTTTGAACCATGCCAAAGGGGCAAAAGGAGCTCTAATTTTGAGAAACACCCAAATCAAACCAACAACAGAGGGTGCCCGTCTTTTCCTGGTCTGGGTCTTGAGCTGATTAATGGTCTTAAACATCTTTGGTATTCCTGAGTATTCTGCTTTGGAAGGGGTCTCATGTTGCCGCTTTTCGTTTGCCAAGCGGCAGGCAGCGCAGGATTTCGGGTTCCGACTGGGTCCAAGATGTGAATTCCAGCGGTAGTTTTCACAGCTGCAATTAAAAAAGACCGGTGTAGAAAAGAAGTTCGGGGACCATCTGAACCAGAGATAGGTGCGGACATCCACTGTGGCTCACCTTCTCCCTTGGCAAATTACAACGAGCTTGGGGGTCAAACGAGCAAAGACCCATGAAGATGCTTTGGAGTGGGTTTCTTGATTTCCCGTTTGAGAATCAGAATAGTTCGCCCAGATCAAGCGCTGTGATTGGGCTATGTCTATTTAGGCCTTAGATGCTTGGCTCCCAGGCTCACGAACAATCTCTTTTCAAA